GGGAGCCCGATGCGGGACTCGATCCCGGGACTCCAGGATCATGACCTGAGCCGAAGGCAGTCGCTTTAACCAACTGAGCCACCCAGGCGCCCTATACACATAACTCTTAAAGGTCAACAATAAGAAAAACAACTCAATTAAAAAGTGATCTGAAGTCCTTGACAGACACCTCACCAAAGAAGATACACAGACAGCAAATACACATATGCAAAGATACTCAACACATGTCATCAGGGAAATGCAAACTGAAACAACAAGAAGCCACCACACACCTTAGAATGACCAAAATCGAACACTAATTATACCAAATGCTGGGGAGGATATGGAGCAACAGGAACCCTCATTCACTGCTGCTTGGAATACAAAATGGCACAGCCACTTTTGGAAGACAGTTGGCAGTTTCTGACAAAACTCAACATCCTCTTACCATATGATCCAGTGATCACACGGCTTAGTATTTACACAAAGGATGAAAACTTACGTCCACACAAAATCTGCACACAGATGTTTACCGCAGCTTCATTCATAACTGCCCAAACTTGGAAGCAACCAAGAGGTCAAACGGATAAATAAACCATGGTTGTATCTAGATAATGGAATATGACTAAGTGTTAAAAAGAAATGAGCTATCCAGCCAGGAAATGAAAGAAGCCAATCTGAAAAGGCTACATACTGTACAATTCCAACTATGATACTAAAGCAACTTTGGAGACAGTAAAAAGATGAGTGACTGTCAAGGTTTAGGGAGGAAGGCGAGACGAAATCAGTGGAGCGGTATTACTACTGCTGGAGAGGATCCCTGGAGATTTTTAGGGCAGTGAAAATAGTCTGTATGATACTATAATGGTAGACAAATGCCATTATACATTTGTTCAAACTTACAGGTCCATCAATTGTAACAAATGTATCACTCTGGTAGGGGATGTTGGTCATGGGAGAGGCAGTTAGGAGGCAGGGCAGTAGAGTGTACAGGTATACCTTCTGCTCGATATTGCTATGAACCCAAAACTGCTCCAAAAAAAGTCTATTAAAAAATTCATATAAACAGAATCATATATGTATAGCCTTATGTGGCTTGCTTATTTTATATATAGTGTATTTTTAAGGTTCAGTCCTTTTTATTGCTGAGGAGTATTTCACTGTAACGATAATCAACACTTTTGCCCATTCGTTCACCAGGTGATGTATGTATCAATTGTTTCTAGTTTTGGCTATTATGAGTAACGTTATTATAAACATACACATACAAGTTTTTATATGGGCATATGTTTTTATTTCTGTGGGGGTAGATACCTAGGAGTAAAACTGACATAGGGTCATATGAGAACTATATGTTTAAGAAATTGCCAAACTATTTTTTAAAACACTTTATGATTTTACATCCTCACCAGCAATATATGAGAATCCACATGCTTGCCAACAATTGGCATTGCCAGTCTTTTTGATGTTATCCATTTTAGTGTACATGTAATGGTTTTACTTTTCCCTAATGAATCATGATCTTTTTATGTGTTTATTTACCATTCAAATACCTTCTCTGATGAGGTAGGTGTCTATTTGAATATTTTTGCCCATTTGTTATTGTTTTTTAGTATTGAGTTAAAAGGGTTCTTTATATATTCTAGAAACAAGTCTTTTATTAGCTATATGTTTTCCAAATATTTTCTGTCTGTGGCTTGTCTTTTCCTTTTCTTAATGGGGTCAAAGTTTTTGATTTGACAAAGTCTAATTAATCAGACTTTTATGAATTCTGTTTTTGGTATTATATCTAAGAAATCTTTTCCTAATCCAAAGTCACAAAGAAACTGCTTTACTTTCTGCAGACAGACTTTATTGGGAAAAATGGCATCTTCTTCCTAGGGATCAGGATTAAACAATGTAATGTACATAAAGCACATGACAAACTGTAAATGTGAGATACCCTCTCTGATTAGAACATGTGCACTATTTTTTTTTTTTTTCCCAGAAGTTCTCTTCCTTGAATTCAAGACAGGAAAAAAATATGACCTTTTGCTTAAAATGCCATTTTTGTTGAACTTAGATCAAAAGCTTTCCAAGGTAAGAAACAGTTACTGGTCATACTCCAGGAAGTGACAATACTTCAATAAGGCTGTATTGTAGACAGTGGCAAAATGTACCAGAACTGTTTCAACTATCTTTTATTTTATTTATTTTTTTTTTTTAAAGACTTCATTTATTTATTTGAGAGAGAGAATGAGATAGAGCATGAAAGGGTCAGAGGGAGAAGCAGACTCCCCGCCGAGCAGGGAGCCCGATGCGGGACTCGATCCCGGGACTCCAGGATCACGACCTGAGCCGAAGGCAGTCGCTCAACCGACTGAGCCACCCAGGTGCCCTCAACTATCTTTTAAAAACAGATTCAGTCTCAATCTATTTACAACAGCATAAAAGAAGTTCCTGGAATGTAAAAACTGCCAACCCATGACAATGGCTTAGTATATGAAGGGAGATATAGTCATTCACAGTATAACAGCACTCTAAGTGGTTTACCTTACAGAAGGAGTTTATGAGCTATAGCATCTCACAGGTTATCACAGCAACAGCCAACTCACAGTAATATAAAAAAAAAACAGGCACATTCCACTGGAAAATTATTAACTAGCCTACTGATGCTAACTTAAAAAAATCTAACTTCAAGTATATTTAAAGTAACTTGCTGCTGTTATCCAAACAATTTAACAATGAAAGTGAAAGATGCTATTTCAAAAACCTTAAAAGCATAAGTTACAGAAATACATTTTATTTTCATCATTCCATTTAAAATCAAATCATTTTTATTCTCTTTAGAAATTTGAAAACTGAATGGTCATTTTCAATATGCAACAAAATAATGTTGTCTTTTCCTAAGTTATATGATTTCAAAGTTCTAGATTATAAATCTTTGTTTTTCCTCACTGATGGAGGACTTTGCCTTGCATATACTAGGATCTCAAAATACCTTTCTGTTGAAGAATATTTCCGTATTTGCCCTTTTATAAATTCAATGGTAAAAAGTTGAGGATTTTCTGAGTCACAAACCAACGCAAATACCTAATGAAAACAAAAACCAAGTTCAACAAAAGAGGTTTAGTTTTATGGCATTTCCTTAGAAGTACTACATATCATCATTTTAGCTTAAAGAAGTCAATATTTAAAAACTGTTTACAATATCAGAATTTAAGAGCTGCTTAAAAGTTTCATTCAAATTTTCATATAACTGTTGAATAAAAAGTTCCATTCATTGTATACTTTGAAAATAAATTTTGTAATATTCATTGTTCTAAGTACAACAAATACAATAATGTGAAGAATTAAGTATATTCTCATTTTCCATTCTTTAAGCATTAAAAATGTTAAAATAGAAAATTATTCTAATTTATCAATAGGAAGAAATCTCATTTAGGCTAATAATGTTACACTTACTTCTCCTAAAGGCTTCAAAGTTGCAATATTATAGGTTGCGGGATCACGTTCTACTAAACATGTTTCTGTAAGTGCTAGAACTCGTTTTATGGGTTCCTTCAAACAAAATTGAGACACATTAGTAAGTCATGGAAGAAAAATGTCAAAATCAGATGAACAAATTTTTATTTTGAACACAGGATCTTACCGAATGTCGAGGTGATATTTTTTGGACTATAAACTCTGCTAAAGATGTGATGGATTCATCAGTGCTGTATTTTCCAAAGCGAAGATTCAAATATTGCTCAAATTCTAAAGGTTCTTTTCTGATGCGCAATGAAATACCTATGTAGTTGCCAGCATGATCTATTGCACTTTTGATTATTTCTTCTCTTTGCTCTGATGCAAATAAATGCTGCACAAATTTTGAAATTTAAAGTCAGGGTTGAAACAACTAAAATGTGACCATTTTTAATCAACTCAACAGGAAAGAGACTGGAGTAGCAATTCTAAAGAAAAACAATGGTAGTTGATCATATCAAAGGTAAATAAGCAGTGTGTTGTGGGGTTTTTTTTAAGATTTTATCTAACTAACTATCTATCTATCTATCTATCTATCTATCTATCTATCTATCTATCTATCTATCTAATCTATCAGAGAGAGAGAAAGAGAGAGCACAAGCAGGAGTGGCAGCCAGAGGGAGAGGGAGAAGCAGGCTCTCCACTGAGCAGGGAGCCTGATGCAGGGCTCAATCCCAGGACCCCGGGATCATGACCTGAGCCGAAGGCAGACGCAGACGCTTAACCCACTGAGCCACCCAGGTGCCCTGCAGTGTGTTGTCTGAACCACTATTACACTAAGTTAAAAATCACAAAGTCTGGGATATAGAGCCTTGCAAATAACTCATTGAATGGAAATTATCTCATAACTTCTCAGAGCCTGATTCCTGTCACCATGTAGAAAACAGCATGCTGGAGCTTCCAGAAGGGGTCCCAGGGACCCCAGCCAAGTCCAGTGGGGGTAGTGGGTACTATGTGGGCAGGATTACCATCTTCAACAAAAGTAGCTCTGATTTAATGTTTTTAATAATAGTGGGTTTTCTTGCACGATTACCTTGAAGAATGCTTAAATGTTTACAAGCCACTGGCCAATGGACATTACAAATCAACCTCCAGGAGTGTTATTTACAAAGGTAAAGATAAGGTATTGCTACTTGCATTTGACACCTGGGCCAGAAACACTAATGTGCTGCAAAGAACAAGGCAGGAGAGTGCCACGCAATAAAGAATTGTCCTGTCCATATTCTAATAGCTCCCCTGCTGAGAAACACTGGTTGAGATCATGTTTTAAAACCTGATTTTAGGGGCGCCTAGGTGGCTCAGTCATTAAGCGTCTGCCTTTGACTCAGGTCATGATCCCAGGGTCCTGGGCAAAGAGTGAAAGACAGAAAAAAGCCTGTAACTCTGAGGAGATAACATATTTTGTAAATCAAATAGTTTAGCACCCCTATCCCGTTATCATTCCTTTTATTTCCCTTCTGCTACCCTCTAGCCTCTTGTGTATCTAGAAGTTCCAGGCTTGCCCTGGCTCTGCTACCCAGAGAAGGATAATTTATCTACACAACACTAAATCTTGGGAGTAGTTGTTCCCAGGCCACTAAGATAGCTACAGAAATTAAAATTCTCAAGAGGAAAGAATCTTGAGAGTAAGCTAAACTGAGCCTTTCCTTGTGGAAACTCTACTGCTCATCTTTGAGATGCGAGGTTTAATTAAGGAAGGCAAATGTTTCTTATAAAAAAAGATGGTCATCATCTATATAGCTCAGCTTCAATTACCAATTAACAAATAGGGTCTGAGCATCTTAAGTGGCTTCTACTGTACCACACAATTCACATATAATTCAGAATTTCAAGACAAGAACATGTAATGAAGTTTCAATGAATACTCAGATTTCAAATTACAAACAGCTGGGGAAAGGAGGGAAGACTATAAAAATAAAAGATCGTAAATTATTTTTTCAAAGAAAGCTTAGAATCTTTCAGTTAAGACATTAATACTAATGAAAATAACAACCGTAACTACCATTTACTGAATACTAAGCCACATATTATGCTAAACATTTACATAAGTTATCTCACAGGATCCTCAAAAAAAAAAAAAAAGAAGAAGAAACAGAAACAAAAACCTATGACGTACATATTACTCTCCCCACTTTTTGTTTTAAATTTATTTGAGAGAGTGAGAGAGAGTGCATGTGAGCACAAAAGGTGTGAGGGTCAGAGGGAGAAGCAGACTCCCCACTGAGCAGGGAGCCCCCCAGTCTCCCGGATCATGACCTGAGCCAAAGGCAGATGCTTAACAGCTAAGCCACCCAGGCGCCTCACTCTCCCCACTTTAAAAAGCTTTAAGTTGGGATTCAAGCTCAGGTCTCTTTGATAACAAAGCCTACACTCTTAATACCAGACTTCCTTCCAGAAGACTCATGTGAATTTGAAAATTAAGTGTACCCTCCCCCCTCTCATGTGCTCTCTCTCATTCTCTCTCTTTCAAATAAATAAATAAAATCTTTAAAAAAAAAAAAAAGTGACAAGGGGCGCCTGGGTGGCTCAGTTGGTTAAG